CGACCAAAAGCGCACTCAGCTTCGGTTGCCGATAACTCAGCTGTGCCTGCCGGAAAACCCGGAGTTAAAACGCAGTTTGCATGGAAATTCAATTGTCTTTAACTTTTCTAGAGGTTGTTTTCCTGCAGCGGGTCCAGGTGGGGAGATATCGGCTAAATAGTCTCGGGGATTTTGTATCACTTTCTTCCTCCAATGGAGCGCTCAACTGCTTTGGCGCATAACTCAGCTACTGCTCAATCGATTCCGATTGGGTAAAAAGGGGCGTAGAGCCAATTGAATTCGCTACAAGTTTCATTAAGCGAGTTTCCTGGTGAAACTCCACCCAAAAAAGCTAGGAGCCAAAAACCGCCAGGGTCTAACGCAACTGACTTTGACTGCTCCGAACGCAGCTGCGTCAGCGCCAATGTAGCTGACCGATTTTTCGTTATTGCAGGTTCCACTCAAGGGACGGCCGTTGCTGAAAAAGCACATATTCGAGCGGACACTGTCCCAACAGCCCTCCATAAACGACCAGTATGAGAATGGACTGTCGACCGAAGTCTCTTCGGCTACGGCCACAATTCGACCGCCAGCCACCACTCTCGATGACGTCTTCATCAGCGTTAAAACCACAAAAAGTTACCACAGCAGCCGCCTGCCCATCATTCTTAAGACGTGGTTCCAGCTGGCCAAAAGACAAGTAAGTGATACGAAGACGCGACTGGTTAGCGAATGTTTTGCCAGAATATCATTTTCTACCTGCCTCGGGCGCTGAGGGCTGTTTGGGGGTGGAAATCGCCCCAAGCCAAGGCGAGATGTAAACATTGATTAGGAAATCGAGTCGCTCGAGTTTCGCTCGGAACAAGTTAACGACTGGAAATTTCACCCGCATTTGGCCGACTTTCGACTGGTTTCGGCTGGTTTGTGCGGGCGGGTTTCTAGGGGGTAAGAAACCCCCTAGAAACAGCTGCCGTCAACGTGAACAACAACCGTTTATCAGCCGACAAGTTGCTGCACGTTGCTGTTGCCAGATCCGAACAATTCCTGAGCAAATATTTGCATTCTGATAAGAGCGGAGGTTCAATGCGTGGGAATTGCCGATGTTTAGCGTTTTCTCGGCAACTTATCACTAAAGCACGCTTGCCACGTCTCCCCGGGGGGCAAACATTCAGGAAAATGCGCGGTTGCCAGTGCAATTTTTGCGTGTTTCTACTGGGAAACCCCTAATGGCGCTACTGGGGTTTACCAGGCCAAAACTCCCCAGCCGTTCGGTTTTGGTTGGGAGTTTTTGCACGGGAGTCTCGCCTGTGGCCTTGGCAACGAAAATGCGCGAAAAAATCGCGGCGTTGCCAGGTCGAAAACTCGATTTTTCTGGATGTTTTCAGTGCGGGGTTGCAAAAGTGGTCTACAAACGTTCAACGCCCAGAAAACCACGCAAGGAGAAGGTTTTCGCTTGATCTTTCCACACCCGAAAATCTTCCGCTGGTCACCAAAATTGAGAAAATGGCAAAAAAAGTCAGCGCACTGCAGCAAATAAGCGAGTTTTTTGGATACTTTCACCAGAAAGTTTCCAAACCACTCAACCCAAGGTGAAGAGCCAATAGCTGCAAAACGCGTCCAAATTAGGCGGGCACTTTCCGAGCCAAAAACCTTCCCTTTTCCCTTAGAAATGAAAATGCGTAAAAAAATTGCGGTGTTGCCGGGTCAAAACTCGATTTTCCTGGATATTTTCAGTGCAAGGTTGCAAATGTTCAATGTCCAAAACACCCTCCAGGGGGCTATTTGCACGTGGCGCCCTAACAACATTAAACCTTCCTTTTGACCTGTCGAACCAAAATAGGTAAAAAAATTGCGGTGTTGCCAGGCAAAAAACTCGACTTCTTTGAGAGTTTTCAGTGGGGGGTTGCAGACGAGGCCCCAAAATTTTCAGCGCGCCAAAACCCACACAAAAACTATGTTTAAGCCCAAGACCCCCAAACAGAAAATGTGGAGATCTTCCTCAGTAAACCAAAAATAGCGAAAAATGCGGTGTTG